CTTGTAGTATCAACACTCTACATTCACGGACGACATACCACAGTTCGGAAAGGAGGAAGAGGTCCCAGAGCACCTGACCCTTCTAGATCACAAAGACCTAAATTCCTATTAGGAGGAGAGAGAGAGAGGGAAATGCGGGATAACTTACAACGTTCTTACGTTTCCTGATGTGACCCAGCTAAACTTTAGTCCAATTGTTTTTATTACTAATGAGACTACTAATAGCAATCAATCTGTGACGTTGTTACATCAACGGTTTGGATATAGAATATTGCATATTTTAAAAATTAAATCTAAAACCAGAATGCTGGGATTGTTGATATTCACTGGTTTATATAAATCGTATCGTTTAATCCGAATTGTAGCGTAAATATTAGAATAACTCACATAGAACAAACTCCATACAGTTCATCTTTCAAAAATGATAAAAACCTCGTATAGTTCATGTTTTAAAATGACTGAAACGGCCATCATATGAAAACTTCACAATTAGATATAAGATAACTAGAACTTCACACATTTCCTGCAGTAAAATAACTGAAACCTCACGTGGTTCACATGTTAAAATTGAAACTTCATATGGTTCACATTTTAATATAACTGAACTTCACATGTTTCATATTTAAAATAACTAAAACTTTACATGGTTAATATTTTAAAATAACCGAAACTTCACATGGTTGATATTTTAAAGAAACCAAAACTTCACATGGTTGATATTTTAAAGTAAACGAAACTTCACATGGTTGATATTTTAAAGTAAACGAAACTTCACATGGTTGATATTGTAAAGTAAATTATATCCCACACAGTTCATCTTTCAAAAATAAAATAAACTTTATATAATTCGTGTTTTAAAATGATTGAAACAGTTCTAATATAGTTTATATAAACAAAGCCTAATAGTTAGATATAAAATAACTGAAACCGCACGTGGTTCATATTTTAAAGCAAATTAAACCCCATACAGTTCATCTTTCAACAATAACAAAAACATTATATAGTTCGTGTTTGAAAATGACTGATACAGTCCTCATAGAGTTAATATAACTAAAACATCATAATTAGATATAAAATAACGGAAACTTCACATAGTTCATGTTGTAAAATAACTGAAACCTCATATGGTTCATATTTTAAAGTAATTTAAACTTACATGGTTCGTGTTGTAAAATAACTGAAATTTCAATGGCTTTTATTTCAAAATGACTGAAACTTCACATGATTCATATTTCAAAATAACTTAAACCTTAAAAGGCTTATACTTTAAAATCACTGAAACCTCAAATGGTTCTTGTTGTGAAATAACTTAAACCTCACATGGTTCGTAGGCGTAGGATCCAGGAGGGCTGTAAAGTCTGGCGCCCCCACGGTTTCAGGGCCAAGTAACCGAAACCACCCATTAAAATATATAATTACATGCATGAGAAAAAGCATGATAAAATAATTTTATAGAACGACTTAAAAACATCCCTCAACGGCATCCATACGGGGGGAGACTTCAGCCCCACAGTTTGAGGTTTGTTTTGACACCTATTCGGTGCAAAGTCCAAGCATAGATAATTTATAGTAAAGTAAATGAAGCATAATACAGCTCCTGCTTTCAACAACAAATTTCACAAATCAGTGTTTTAAATGGAAAGTTTATTTAGTTTAAATTTTAAAACACTCAAAGCCTTACACAAAAATTACTTAAGCCTAACGTGGCACTTGTTTGGAAACATTATCCTTGCTTGGTTGGTTATATATAAATAAACGAAATCTATTTGACTCGTGTGTTTTTAAAAACTACCTTACCAATGAGCTAAAAGATAGATGCAAATTTTTTATGAATTATTTTCAAAAGTAAAGGTGGCTTGAACACTATATCAACTTACTGCAAGAGTATATTAAATCAACAAGATTATTAAAGTAATCATTCGGGTTGAAATGCTGCCAGTTGCGGGGGTTGTTGTTATCAGTCATTTGAGTGTGTATAATTTTTGAAACGTATGTTAAGTAAACCAACACTGGTTAACTTTATAACTACTTAAACGTGAAATCTGCTTTACTTCGAAGAATAGTCACTAATGCTATGCTACATCTTGAGTCATACACTGCATATGTGAGCTTCTCTTGGTTCAGGTTAATGGTGTTTTTGAAAAAACAAAAAACAAACTTCCTATTGTAAATAAACAAATGAAGCATGTCAGTATCTCTTCACTGGTTATGGGAAAATTTTTTTCTTCAAGTATTTATCTTACATGTTTGACAAGTAACTATAAAAAGCTTTAATATCATCTACATGTTTCAATGTGTTTGCACAAAACACAGTAACCACGTATGGAATACACTTGCTGTAAAACACCACTTACAGAACCACAAAGTCTGAAAAAAAACCCATTAAATTACAGTATTATGCGAGTATAAGACTTGTGATATTAAAGCCTCTAATAAATAGTTTATCTTATTATAATGGGTGAATAATTCTACCTATGTAAAACTATTCTTTCATAAATAACTATAATAGCTACAGAACTGGATAAAATATCGTTAGAACTATATGTTTCCCCACATTTGTCAAAAAATAAAATTTGATAAAGACATATTTCAATTCGGTTCCTGTATCGGATCTAATTGGTTTAGCCTTCACCTGAAAAATTATAAACATCTTGAGTTGATTCTGATCAGTTTTGATACTTATAAAATAGCCTTGAAAACTCTCAGTAAAATACGGATAAATGTTTTGGTTTTAAAATACACCACGTAACCCAACGAGTTTATCACAGTAAACTACGTCTTACCAAGAAGGGTGATGCCATAAAATCTGGTCGCGAGATTAGCATTGAGATCTCCAATCACCTGGTGTTTCAAAGTGATGTCATACCATTGGTCTGGCAGGAAGAGATTCTGTAATAATAAACAAATTAAATATAATCAAGTTTATCACCCAAGGCAGTTTGAAGTTATCTAATAGGTTTAATTTTTCCTCCAAGGGATCTCGGATCTAACAAATAAAATCCACTAACGTCCTTATCTAATCATAACGAGATTAATGTTGTAAAGGATGGGGAAAAGTAGAACATTCGGCCATAAAAATATACTGATATATTTTTAATTGTATTAACAACTTAAGTAATTAGCTGAAGTAATCTCATAAACCTACAACTTGGAAGGATGGTATGTGAATACCATAAAAATACGTCCGTGAGGTGACTATTTTTAAACATGAAAAGCAAAACTTTTGATGCTCTATTCAAGAACTTAGTTGAATATGGGTTTCAAAAGCTCCGTCGTAAAGGGTTAAATGTTCCAAGTTTGATTATGACTATGATTCATCGTAATTTTTATTTATTTTTTCCTTCCGCTTTTTTTCCATCTTTTTTTTTTGGGGGGGATATCTGTAAGCTTCATTTGATGTTTATTATATAATGACTTTATTGTACGATGACCGTATTTACTGTGAAATAACTATACTTATTGTACGATGACTGTATATTGTATGATGACTGTATATATTGTGTAATGACTATATATATTGTAAAAAGTAATATAAAATAAGTGTTAGGTAGAACTTTGTTCTGTTTAATTAAATTCTCACTTCTAGCGTATATTATCGGGAACATTTTACAGTGAAATCGTCATTACTAGCGTGTATCATCAGTCTGATTTCTTTGTTTAACAGCAAAGCCACACTGAGCTATCTGCTGTAACCATCACAGGAAATCGAACCCCGGATTTTAGCGTTAAAAATCCGCAGACTAACCGTTGTCCTACCGGGGGACATCATCAGTCTGAACATTCTACAGTGTGATCGTCAGTTCTAGCGTGTATCATCGGTCGGAATATACTACATTGCAATCGTCAGTTCTAGCGTGAAGTATCTGTCGGAATATTCTACAACGGTGATTGTCAGTTTGAACATTCTACATTGTAATCGTCAGTTCCAAAGTGTATCATCGGAAATAATACCGTGAGATATTCAGTTCTGACGTGTATGAAAGAGAACACACTACACTGAAATATTCAGTTCTAACGTATATGATCGAGAACACACTGCATTGAAATGTTCAGTTCTAACGTGTATGATAGAGAACACACTGCATTGAAATATTCAGTTCTAGCGTATATGATCGAGAACACTCCAAACTGAAATACTCAGTTCTGACGTGTATGATAGAGATCACACTACACTGAAATATTCAGTTCTAACGTATATGATCGAGAACACTCCAAACTGAAATACTCAGTTCTGACGTGTATGATAGAGATCACACTGCATTGAAATGTTCAGTTCTAACGTGTATGATAGAGATCACACTGCATTGAAATGTTCAGTTCTAACGTGTATGATCGTCGGTTTCAACAACTATCACAACTAATATCAATAACATTTGTCGGTTAAGTGTTTTTTTTTCTCTTTTCAACTCTGAATTTATCTAAATAAGTAGTGATTTGCATATTTTTAAATTGGCCTGTTCATCTACTGTTATACATAAATATCTGTCTTTTGTATGATATTCTTAATATTAAGCCTCTCCTAATGTAGCATTATTTTTAAACCATCAAAATGCATGTTCGTCTCTGATTGTCTAAAGTCCACGTTCGAGCCTTTCAAACCGGTATGTTGGAAATTTCACACTCTTTGATTTGCTGCTTATTGTAGTCTTTCTCTGCTTTGTTGTGATTTGGTGATCAGAAAATGCAACGTTTCTTGCCACATGGAAATAAAGAGCTGTAATAGACATTTAGCTGGTCTAATTGATGCAACTTAAAAGTGTGATTGTGATAGCTTCATAACTTGTGATAACTTTTACTTCAATTCTACATCAGAAACAATCGTGACTAAAGTTTCTTTTCGAACTACTATAGACCTTGTGGTGATGACATCACTCACCACGTGCTTTGATTTACGCCACCATCTTTGATCACCGTGATAGTAATGACCATGCAGAAAGCCATGTTTACGACGAGCTAATTTTGTCTGTCACAATATGATACCAACAACATAATATACAACAGTGTGTAACGCTAAAGCGTGATTATACACACATATGTGCTTCTATTTGTGTTATTTGTTTGCTGTGCCATTTTTTAATAAAAATAAAAACGTTAAGTTCATTTAATGGCACTACACAATTTTATACCAACAACATACTTTATTGAAATCATGAGGACAATAATAAGCATATAAAGTGTAACAGTCATACACTTCCAAACCTCTCTTAATCTTGTCATATATAATGGATTCAATCTCATCAACCATTTTACACCATACTCTTTTACTCATTTCAAACCGATATATTTAGACTAGTAATTTTTACTGTCATAATACAGAAAATATATTCACGATGAATTCAAAAATTGAATACAGTTAACATGAGCACTATATGGCTTTAGCATATCACCTTGTACAAATGTACAATGACAAGTACAGACATGTTTTACGTTAACTACAGAAATATGCTGAGACGAACATCATTATCCACCTTCAAATAGATCAAAAACTTTGTCATATTTAATAGTTTCAGTCATATTTACGATAGCTTAAATATTTATTTACTAATAAATAAATATAAAATAATAGAATATAAAATCAAACAATAAAATGCAAAGCTATGTTAAAAGTTTAATAATTCATACATTATTTTTCTTTAGTTTGAAGGACATATTTGACAAAATTGTCAGACTGCTGGATCAACTAACTAAAAGCTGATAAACGTTGTTGTAGTTCAAAATTTTAGAAATTGTTAATGAAAGGTTAAACACGTTGTCTAAGATAAATGTTCAAAGCCATTTTATTTGCTTTAGAGAGAGTAACTGACTGTGAAAAAACAGTTATATCTATTAAATTGTTTGATAAGAAACAAGAGGGAATCATCTATAGCTGCGACACTTGAAATTCTTTTAGGGAAGATTACAGTAAATCTAACCAAAAACACCTTAAGTGTGAAAAATAGGTGCAGCCAAAAAAAAAAGCAAATATGCATTCATTAGTTAGCTAGGCCGCGTGGTTTGTTTTACCCAGCATCATGCCCAAAGTTGAACACAAAAACGCGGCCTGGCTAACTAATGAATGGATAATTGCTGTGAAATTCTTATCAGTGCTATAAGTGTAACAACCAGTTTGGCCGCCAATTTTGATTTCATTCGTTTAAGTCGCGCGCTCAATCCTTTTTTGGCCGCACCCTTTGTTAACACCTAAGATGTTTTTGATTAGATATCATGATTTCTTGTCAATACAAACCAACAAACCACAGCAAGTGAGAAAGTGACACTCGATAGTAACCAACATCACAACTTTATTACTCAGAGCAGACCTATACTTTACAGAACCAACCAGATTCTTTAAAATAAATGGTGGTAGTTTTTCCTCTCTAAAACAGAGTTAACAACTTCGTTTATAGTAACGCCATGAAATCTAAATTAACAGTTTCTTGTCATCACCCGCATGCACTTGGTACAGCCGTATCAAGCATCATTATTTAAGCTAATTGCTTAAGCTAATATGACGTGACACTAAACGCTCTTTAATTAGGAGAATTTCAGAAAATTTAGCAAACTTGTGCTTAAAAGTTGGCAATGAATAATGAATAATAACCGTTCACGCGTATGACTCTTTCGAAAACTTGAGCTAGAGACTGATAATCTAGTTTTCTTGGCGTAACTAATACTTATGTATCTGCACGCCCTTTCACCCTATAGTTTAGCTGTCTAAATCAGTCGTCTTGAATCCGAATAACAAAAAACTAAAAAAGCTCCACTGTTACTCTTAGGCAAAGCTGTAGTAAAAATTTCAGATGGATAGCTCAAGTGACTTTGCGCGTAGGCGTGCACAAAAAGTTGGTCACATTTGATCGGTTTTTGTGGAATAACTTTGCACTTCTGACTTATATTTAGACCAAATTTGACATATAATTGTAGGTTGTAAAGATATATCTGTGTACCAAATTGAAAAAAAATCTGTAAAAGTTAAGTATGTTTTTCTATCAAATAAAGTTTCCGTACATTCAGTGTGAAGAAAAATATGGGTAAAATTCAATCAAAATTGGAGATATTATATCTCGTGTATTTCGTAACGGATTGGTATGTGAAGTAACAGTCTTGTAGAACACATCCACTGAAAATATGTGATAGTTTAGATTTCCATAGTGTATCCTGCAGGTTGTTTTGGCCGCACGACACACTATTGTGTGTCTTAATTGATCTATGATACCTATATTTTTATTAGCTCTCTACCTGCTTACACTCAAATTGAAATTTTTTAGGTCCGATTAGAATAAATTAATCTATGAGATCTTGAGTTTGGTAAAATTCATAAATCGAAAGGATTTTGACCTCCCGAATCCAAAACTGAAATTGGATCTCAAATCGGTCAAGAGACGACGGAGCTATGAGCTAAAAGCTAGTTTGTACTTGTAAAACAAACAAACAGACTCAGAGCCATTCTATGAACCGCTATGCTGCGGCTGAAAAAAATATCCAACAGACTTGCTAACATAACTTGTATTAAAAATGATACCAAAATTCAAGAAGATAAGGCACTCTGTTGAGTATAATACTGGGAGCAGACATAATCTACGGTCGTATTTATATTTAATATTTTTCAAGGATATCATAGTCATCCCTTAATCAAATGGAACAACGGACTCGCGATGATTTGTTAAGCCACACACTACTCTGACAATTTTGTTTAATGCTGTGGAACCAGGTCTTTCATCTGCTTGTAGCAAGGTAATTGCAACTGCGCTGTCTTCTATACGATATATTTTTTCTATCATGTTTCCTATTACTCGCTCAGTGTGTATTCTTACAGATACTAAATGTTTGATTAACTTCACTTGTACCTAGTTGTTTGTTTTCTATAGTAAAAGCAGGGATTTCTAAATTGGCACCATAAATGTCAAGTGATTCTGCAATATTAAAACCTCTGTCTGCCTTAATTATATCTCCAGGGAAAAGCATTGTTAGATAACTCCACTGTTCTGCAAATGTTTATCACTGGCGTGACCATCCTAGCCAGGAAATTAAGTATTTAATTGTATTGTGAAACTTGTAGTTTAAGTAGGTTTTGTTTTTTGCATGTAGATTTGATAGCCCTTTAAAGTTTCTTTAAACAACATATGGTACAGTTCTCTGTAACTCTAACCTATCTGATCAAGCTATTGTAGAATTCTCTGGAACTCTAACCTATCTGATCAAACTATGGTAGAGTTCTTTGTAACTCTAACCTATCTGATCAAACTATGATAGAGTTTTCTGTAACTCTAACCTATCTGATCAAACTATGGTAGAGTTCTTTGTAACTCTAACCTATCTGATCAAACTATGGTAGAATTCTCTGTAACTCTAACCTATCTGATCAAACTATGGTAGAGTTCTTTGTAACTCTAACCTATCTGATCAAACTATGATTAGGAGGACCAGTTTTTCGTTTCGGATATGTATAATATTAGCAAAGGTTTCAACAATGGTACTGTGGTGAACTTTGAAACAAAGGATGGATAATGCACTGTTACATTTAACCTAATTTAACTCATCAATGTTAGGAAAAGTTGAGGAAATGGTTGTAATGATACATTTAGTTCGAGGTTATCAAATTAAATATTACCATAAATAAATGACATTTTCTGAGACCATGAAGACTTTCACTTTTTCGTGGCTGCCTATGAATGGTTCCTGGCTCAGTTATAGATCAACTACTCTATTGTCATATTTTTGGTTACATATGAGCAACAGTCGTGTTGTGTCTTTTGATGTTTCAGCGTCTTTCATCGTGAGAGATGTTTGTGAACTTGTTTTATTTCTGACAATAGTGGCGTTTCATTACATCGAGACTTCAACAGTGTCTGCCGTTGTCTCTGTGTGATTTTTGGATAGGCAAGTTGAAGAACATTTGCTGCTGTAGAACCTTCAGATCAACCAGTATCATACTTATAAAACGTAGCTATGAGCTCATATGTATGAAGATAAATGGTATTTTACAAATAAAATGCTACTGATAATTAGACAGTAAACTTAGGTTACTGCACATATTTCAAGATAAAAAGTTATTTATTGTATTTGTTTGTTTGTTGTTAACCGCAAAGCAACACAATAGGCTATCCGTAATGTGCCCACCACGAGTATCGAAACCCGGTTTTTAGTGGTGTTAGCCCCCAGACTTACTGGTGAGCCACTGAGGACTATTTATAGTAAGCTTTAACACGTATGTTCATGTTTTCGTTTCTTCATACTTGGCTTTTCTGTCATAACTTTCAATAGCTCCTCTAACATTTTATTTTTAGGGGATGTCACATGTGCCAAAACTGATGATCAATAATCAAGTAAAAGGATTCATTGCTCTTCTTTCTTATATTTAATTAATTTCTTCAGTAATCAACTATTTAATTAATTAATAGTATGCTTGGAGCATAATGTTAACTTTAAATGTTAAAAGCACACAGGATCGTTAGGTCTACCTGATATAAAATGTTGGCTACACTCGGTGTCCAAACTTCACGTTTCACTGTAGCTATCCATGTTTTTCGTCCACAGGAAAACGATAAAATGATAAATACTTCATGTCTGCTCTATTACAGCACCCATATGCCATATAACAAGCTATATATAAAGGATCAACTGTTATCACGCGTGGTTGATCATCAAGATGGTGCACAATCAGAGTTGACCGTGAAGCTGTGACGTAGTTGCACAAGGTCTATAGCATAGTCCACCTTAATTCGAGTCTTTTGTTTAACCTTAACTTACTTGTAAAGTGTAGTATTTTATAACTTGTATGGTCAGGATTACACATTTGCTGACTAAGGCTAAAGGTAACGGAACATTTTACGTCATTCTCTTTGTGTCATCATTCTAAGCGAATTATTTCAATAGTTTCTCCACTAGGACGGTTTCAGCCTTCCTTAACCTACTTAGATGTTCACCCATCCTTTAAGGCGTACAATCTCACATTGTAGGATTTCTCTAGACAAGAATACGGATTGATTGACATATGTATACTTATCGGACTTGTTTGTCTATCCATCCACCCACTATGTGCATTTGTCTAACACAAAAAATGACGTCAGTGAAGAAAATAAAATAACATATTCGTAACAATGTTTTCTTTAATAAACATCAACTTAGTAATCAGTAGTTAATGTTAACTTCTCATTAAAGTCACTTAAGTAGATCAGAACTAAAATTTGATCCGGTAATGAACATAGTAATTTTTAGCCTGTTTTTACATTCTTATTTATAAAGGTTAAATGTATAATCACACGAGCTGAGTACCCTCAATATTAGCGATATATCAGGCCTTAAATCCGATAATATATCACAAGGTTCGGCCAACTCAGGAGATTTAAGTTAAACCTTAACCTATACACTAAGCTAAGAATGCAAAATAATTCTTATAAGAAAAATAATACATTCTAACCAATACTCTTAATGAAAATAATATTAAAGAAAGAACATAATATAATTTAGTTAAAGAACACAAACAACAGTTGTTTGCTTTATGCACTCTCAAAAATTATATGTTTCTTCCACTTACTTGGTTTATTTTACTCATGTCTGCTTATTTTAGCATATAGTTTTAATAGTTAATTGAAGGAGTAAAATGTCACAAACAATTTACAGCTGTTTCTGTACTTACCATCAATCCACATAAGGTAAAGATGATCGCCATAGACAGATGCCACACCTGGAAACCACGAGGGAACTTGACAAACAGGTGCTCGTTATGACCAAGAACTTGACTGATCTACCGGCAAATACAAAAACGTGCAAAAAAAGATGTTTTTTTTTTCATTTCTATTTTTCAGAAAAACCAGATTCGTCTTATGAAATGATAGCTTTGTTATTTCTAAACATGAACATTCTACCTATCTCATGAATGTTATGCATCTATTCCAAACAATAATTCCAGCTAAGGAAAGACGTGATTTAAAAATGTCGTACAGATTCTCTACTATCCATTGTATGAATTAATGTTATGCATCTATTCCAAACAATAATTCCAGCTAAGGAAAGACGTGATTTAAAAATGTCGTACAGATTCTCTACTATCCATTGTATGAATTATGTTATGCATCTATTCCAAACAATAATTCCAGCTAAGTGATTTAAAAATGTCATACAGATTCTCTACTATCCATTGTATGAATTATGTTATGCATCTATTCCAAACAATAATTCCAGCTAAGGAAAGACGTGATTTAAAAATGTCATACAGATTCTCTACTATCCATTGTATGAATTATGGCTGTGGTGTTTAGCTAGCGTGAGGTTACATGTTAAGTTACTGATAGACATTTTGAAATAAACACAAAAGTTTTAATTTGGTTTGTTTTAAATTTTCCGCAAAGCTACACGAATGCTATCTTCGCTAGCAGTCTATAATTCAGCAGTGAAAGATTAGAGGGAAAGCAAGCTATTCATCACCACCAACCGCCAACTCTTGGGCTACTCTTTTACCAACAAATTGTGGGATTGACCGTCACATTATAATACCCCCACGGCTGAAAGGTCGGGAATGTTTGGTGGGACGGGGATTCGAACTCGCGATATTCAGAAATCACAAAAGAGTTTAATATAAAGTTTGGGACATGACTGTGAATCCGAAAATTCATTGTTCGCGGCCCTTTCCCCCAAACAAAAAACGCGCTTTCCACTTTGAGTCTGTTGGTGAGCTATAATAGTGACGGTCAAAACCTACTATTCGATCAGACAAGAGCATTCGAAGAGTTGGCGGTGGGTGCTGTTGACTAGCTGCCGTTCTCCTAGTCTGTTCAAAATTATGGACGACTATACACAAATAGTCCCTTAGAAGCTTCACGCAATAATTTGAAACAAACAATAACCTGGGATTTATGAAGATTATAAAACCCCTTTCCAAATATTTCAATTATTTTTAAAACCTCATAAGGGGTTTCAAGCACTAACAGTTACTTTCAGTATCTTGAAGACGAATAATAAAACGTTACTTTAGGTTGCGTAATTGTTGTTATATTTAAGACATAAATTAACGACTTGTCTTAAGAGTTATTCATGTTATACCTATTAACTCACCCTAACCTTTCGAACCTTAATAAAGCAGCAATGACTAGTTAGTTAACTTGACAATACAAACCAAATTAAAATACACAAAGTAAAGTTTATAATGTGTGGCCTATATCTGCTCTTTAGTTGGCGTTGTGTAAACTTGTAGTTTTTTTTGTACTTTTACATTACATAGGTTTAACGAAGTAATTATTATTCCTCCATGCATATATTTGATGGTACTGCCTACTTTGATAACGCCAATAAATTATCTTGTAATGGGAAATATCGTCGTTAAATTCGATAGGAATAATTTTATGTGTATAGATGGTTGTTAGCTGCCCTGGTCTAGGTCTTTTCGCTGTCATATATAACAGACGTAAAATATTGGCGTTTAACCTTGCAAGAGTCTAGAATATGTACATAAATAATAAAGATTCTTGAGATCAAGGAAAAACTGAAGCAAAAAAGAAATAGAAAAGTCTAAATTCTGAATGCAAAAAAAGAAAAGAAAAGATCTAATTAAAGTAACGTCATTTCAGTCTGATACTCCGTATATATATATACAAGTTTTATTTAAATTTTTTAAGGGTGCATACTAAAATGACTTAAGCAAATTCTAATCGTGTTACAAGGTAGTCTTCAGTATCCAGTGTAACTGAAAACCACGTGATATAAAGTCCTATTCTAAATTCTTTAGACAAACGGACAAACACAAAGTGAGAAACGGAAATATATTCGAAATACTTTTGATCTGTGGATGTCTCCATTATCAGTTTCCCCGACTCCCAAGATCTTACGTGTTTTCAATCGGCTATGAAGGTCTCCACTGCTATGTTTCCTGTGAAAGACAAAAACATGCACACTGAGGTTCAATTATATATATCTAGTTTTCCTGTGCTAAACATCAATTATCATAAATAGTGTTTACACATTCTATTATTGAATACTATACCTCATTGTATTGTATCTTGTATTGTAAAGCTATTTGCGCATAGCCATTCCTAGTTTTGAACTGACAGACCACATGTAACAGCACCCATTTTGATGCTAGTTAATCTTTCACACTAATGCACCACTACAAGGAGCAAACCAACATTACAACTAACCTTTACGAACAATAACCAAGTACAGTTGGATGTCAAGGTAACACTCATTTAATAATCAACCTTCAAGGTACAATAAAAATCAATTCTCTCAAGGTAACATTCATTTAACAATCACCCTTCAAGGCACAATAAAAATCCATTCTGTCAAGGTAACATTCATTTAATAATCACCCTTAATGTACAGTAAAAATCCATTCTGTCAAGGTAACATTCATTTAATAATCACCCTTAATGTACAATAAAAATCCATTCTGTCAAGGTAACATTCATTTAATAATCACCCTTAATGTACAGTAAAAATCCATTCTGTCAAGGTAACATTCATTTAATAATCACCCTTAATGTACAATAAAAATCCATTCTACTAAACAACTCTTAACCTAAAACGTATTTGTTCAATTTTAACTATAAGTCCGAAAGTTCACAAAATACACCCTTACCAAGTGGTACTTCTTCAAGGGTGTATTTATTCACTGTCTGAAATCTCACTATTATTTTACTCGTTCAAGCTTAGTAAAACTGTTCACCATACACAGTCAGTAATTACTATCATGTTTCGACTTTCAGTATTTGATCACCGGTTCCGGGAACATTCAGTAAAGCGGCACATCCGATGAAATTCAACGCGCCCCCCCATGCCATATTAGTTTTTATGAACACCTAGAAGATCCCCCTCCCTGCCATATTATTACTTATGAACACCTAGAAGATCTTGCAGTTTGATATTAAACTCAAGTTGAAATATGTCCTATCTTCACGATCACACTTGGTTATACCTAGTCATTAAACCATTAACTAATTATAAAACTACACATTATTAAAACATTAACTATAACACTACACACAAATTACTCACTGCCCGTAAGGTTTGATTTGCTCTAACACGCGCAGTGACAACCTCACCACTAGAAAAAAAATTGAATACACAACTCTCTTGACCGAGCTTCTTACCTGAGCCAACTGAAAAACCTACTTCAGTTTTGGAAGATGATCAAAGAACTGTTTCTGTTTCTGTAGGAAGATGATCAAAGAACTGTTTCTATAGGAAGATGATCAAAGAACTGTTTCTGTTATGTCGCTCTACCTTTCCATATGTAACTTTTATACTTATTTTCTTATAAGCATTATCAACAAAATTTACAAATTAGCACTTAGTGCTGTTTCAACTCTTTATAGCACTTCTTAATTGCAGCTCCCACCAGATCTTGAGCTACTGACAAAACAGTGGGATTTGACTGTCACTCTAATAGCGTACCCACGGCAACAAAGTGCGAAGCACCTTTTCGTGGCAATGGATTCCGGATTCAAATTTCACACTTTGGAACTGTAGGTGCGTTTTTAGAGCCAGGACGGTCAAATCCTATTATTCTATTAAATAAAAGTAGCTTAAGAGTTGGCGATTGGTGCTGTTATGCCTTCCTTCTAGTCTATCAGTTTGAAATTAGGAGCGGCTCTGCAAGAAGATTCTGGAAGAAACAAACAAAGAAAACGTTTTTCGAAAAGATTTGTTTTTGCAACATTCTTGAAAAATCCGTTTTCTTTTCGTTACTTATACCTTTTAACTTTGTATTTGTATTTTTAAAAGAATTAAAAGCAAAAACGTCTTTTTTTTTATTCTAGTAGAATATTCTCTTCTGACGAAGAACAAGAAATCGAAGTCCATTACTGCGCTTCTCTTACGTGGAAGTAAACGCAGCGGAAATTCAATTAGGGCCAGTTAAGAAGGCAGAGCAAAATGAGACAAAATCCTTGCTTCTAGTTTCGATCACTAAATTTTTTTTCTCTTCTATTAGTAAATTATATCAGGGTCATTTCTGATAGTGAGTTTAATGAATTATTATAAAACGGACATATCTATCCTAAGAGATATGCCTGCTTAATTTTTGTCGGCGTATGTTTTTCTTACTAAGGTAAGATGTTTTTCAAGAAGTAGAGATATGCCTGCTTAATGTTTCTCGGCGTATGTTTTTCTTTCTAAGGTAAGATGTTTTTCAAGAAGTAGATAAATTCAAAATACACCAAAAAATTTTAAAATTGAATAAGATAAATATAAAATATAACCAAAAAGCAGAGACCAAATTGCCGGGTTCATTACTAAATATTAAAAGTAGTTATTTATTGAAAACATTCTTTGCATAGATAATAAGTGAATCAGTAATGTGATCTGTGATTTAATTTCTTTTAAAGGCTTTTTTTTATAAGTTAATTAACTTGAAGGGTACGTTACTGGCTTACCTATCTATACATTCTACACGTGCTTGAAAATCTAGTCACTAATGGATGATTTTGATTTTTACATCTTTAGATGCTCTTCTATTTTTTTTAGTCCTTGCAACTTTGCAGCCTTTGCACTTGTAATGTTTTCTTGTAGAGGAATAATTTCGAAGAAATACTGGAGTAAAAGTAAGTGCGCTTTAGTTGAGCAGAAAACAAAATATAGCAGATCGCATACCAAGGAACGTGTGAAGAATTTGACTTTTTTATTCTCGCGCAAAGGACGCTTGGGGAGGTAACGATAAGAAGTTTATCTAGACTAATCCAAGTTATCTCATTAAAAAAAATTTCTGAAGCGATTTAAACTATAAAAGGTATCGAACATAGATTTCTGGCGTTATAGACCCCAAACGTACCTCTGAGTCACCCGTGGGCGGAACCAGAGCTAAAGTATATAGTTGGTGACTTAAATATTATATGTGATAAGACTATTTTTATGAACACGAGAGCTCTTATATTCTAAAACCTTATATCTTGGTTTTCTATTAAATTCCTTTGCCCATTTAAAAGAACCCAAGCTAAATCACTATTTTTCTTTTCAGGACTCAAATAGGTATTTTTTAATAAAAGAATGTATTCTTCTTTCAGTATTTGAAATACTGAGTATACTAAGAATTTTGCGGCTCAGAGGACATAATAGTTTTTTGATGGACAGCCCTAGGATTTAATACAATCAATTTTCAAAGCGGATATGCTGTTTTACTTGGTTACTTTACAGTATTCCTAAAATATATTTTAGTGAAGAGATTATCTTAACTTAAAATTTCAGAATAATTTCCGCTGTACTCTGAAATAGGATAAATCAAATGCTTTGTAAGACAAAGACAAACCTTAGATTAAACATACTTATAAGATAATGATGGTTACATTGATCACTTTCAATACTATACATTATTCTACCCCTAACATGAATTATTTGCTATGATTGGCAGATAGCGCATCACAAGGTATGATACATTTTTCGATGTTGCATTATAAGCTAGACAACAAATCGCATCAATGTTGCCCATGTAAGCGTGACGTCGTAGCAGAACTTTGCATACGACGATTTTTTTGCAGCACAGTGAAAACACGCTGATTCATTTAGGCCTAATTTACCAGCAACGTCGGAAATCTCGCCAATATTTTAGCCAAATTTCGAACAAGATGACTGCATTCATTCTGAGCTTGTTAATAAAAAAATGGGAAATTTAAAGAACGATAAGGTTCCTGCGCCAGATAATACTTCCAAAAAGGTTTTGAAGGAGGTTAAGGATTGAATATGTGAGCCACGTGCTACTATTTTTTTAAGTCCTTGAATTGTGGACAGGTACCAGAGAATTAGAAGTTAGCTAATGTTACTCCTCTTTTCAAGGGAGGTGATAAAATTGTCCCAGTAATTATAAGCCCATTAGTCTTACATCATTTGTGGGAAAATTTTGAAAAATCTGATAAAAGATGGCTTGCAAAGCCATTTAACAAAGTTTAGAATTTTATTCGATAGTTAACACGGTTTCACTAAAGAAAAATATTGCATGATAATTCTTTTGACATTCTTTGAAAAGGTTACTGCTTATGTAGATGAGGGTAAGGGTGTAGATGTAGTGTACATGGATTTTCAGAAAGCATTTGAAAAGGTGCCACATAAAAGACTTGTAAAATAAATCTCTGTAGGTGTGAGGGATAAGTTACCAAATTCGATAGAAGAATGGCTGGATGGAAGAAAGCAGAAGGTTGTTACAAATGGAGTTCAGTCAAACTGGATTAATGTCACAAGTGGGGTACCTCAGAGCTCAGTCTTAAGACCTTTGCTTTTTTAATTTACATCAGTGACATAGATGAAGAAATGGTCAATAATTACTTACATTTGCAGATTATATTATGGCCTTGGGTGTTGCTAGCTGTGAAGAGGACGCTGCTGATTTACAAAAGGATTTAGATCATTTAGTGAGTTGGGCAAATAAATGGCAAATAGGTTTTAATAATAGTAAATGCAAGGTAATGAATGTGGGTTATCATAATTTGTATTATAAGTATAATTTGGATGAGAATAACCTTAACAGTGTCATGAAAGAAAGGGATCTTAATGTCATAGTTGATCAGTCTCTTAAGCCATCCAAGCAGTGTGCTGTTGCTAGCGGTAGGGCAATTAGGATTTAAGGTTGTATCTACAGAACTATTGAATACAAGTCTAAAGAGGTTATAATTTAATTGCACAGGTCACTTGTTAGGTCACATTTGGAATATTGTGTTCAGTCTTGGGCTCTTTATCTTAGGAAAGACATTGAATTGTTGGAAAGGGTTACTAGAATGGTGCCTGGGATGGAGGGCTTGTCATATGAGCAGAGGCTGAAATATCTCAAATTGTTTTCTCTTGAAAAAAGAAGAGTTAGGGGAATCTGATTGAGGTGTTTAAGATTGTAAAGGGAATTGATAGTGTTGATGCATCATCTTTTTTCATACTTAATAGTGAGAATAG